CTAAACCCTAAACCCTACCCATCCCAGGATTCTGTGGCAGCACCTGCTGAGACACGACCAGCTTGGAGGCCTCCCAGGGACCCCCAAAGGGGCGGTCTGGGTTCTATGTTGGGTACTGCCCCCACCCAGTAACAGTCTAAGGGGTCCCATTAAGGGCTATACATAACCATATTCTGCTCATTATCCAACTGTGCGTGAGAAGGGGCAGTACCCAAGTTCTAGGAAAGGATAGGAGCGTACCTGGTTTAGGGGTTTAGGGGTTGGGGTTTAGGGGTTCAGGGGTTTAGGGTTTAGGGGTTTAGGGGTTTAGGGTTTAAGATCTCTGTATATATATGTATGTATACATAGTATACACACCCATTTCAGTTGGGCCCCACCCGATAGTGGTAATTCTCTTAGGGTCCCTGTGTATTCCTAGTATACTACTCATATTAAGCTTGCAGATTCCGTGGTTTTCAGCATTTTGCTATTAAGATCATAATGATCCACTTGAGAGGTTCGTCCGGCTCTGATCCCAATGAAAATGAATATAGGGGTATGGGGACCGTAGGAGTTAATCATATAAAACATCGTACGGACATCTTGGGCTTAAGTTCTCCACAAATCAAGAGCCCCTTCTTGGGCGACAACGACCGCATACAAAAGAAGATGTAGATGTTCAAGATGTCACTTCAAAACCCGAACTTGTGATACGAAGACCCAACTTTTTTTGCTGGAGAACTCCGGAGCACGAAAAGTATTGTGCAAATCCAAACGAAACTGCTTTCAAAGACACGAGAAATACGTGTGAACCCAGGATTCCGGACTTCCATCATCGTTCCAACTAACTTCTCAAAGGAACCTACACGGACCGAATCCGGACGAAATGGCAGACCAAATGCGAAAATCCAGAAACGTGGCTGTTTGGTATTCGGATGTGGGCCGAAAGCATTTCTGAGAGCAAAATTGCAACTTTCCAGTGTAAATCGTTTTAGAAAGCATATGGACCAAGACCTTCCAGGAACTGGTGGAATCAAAGTGAGTGTGATGCAAATTGAGTGCAAGAGTTTTCCGAAAATCGGTGTAGTCCTGACTTGAATGGATTGAAACACTTCTATCACATGAGCCATAGTCTAAAGCCCTATAATCCCCGTAATAATCCCGACAGTACTCCCCTATATAGTCCCAATATAACCCCCTGTACCCTAAACCCTGAATAAAGGGGCAAGGAGTTTAGTTTTCTGCTCACACAGAATAAGGAGCCGCCATGGTCCAGTACGGAGCTGGTGTTGTTCTAGGACTTCGAACTTGCTGCTTGAAATATAGGGGGTCCCAAAATTCGGGATAAGCAGGTTATATACGGGGTATATGGTGGTATCTAGGAGTCAAGTAGGGTTATATAGGAGCTGTGTAAGGGCTTTATACGGATAATGGTAAACAAAAACAGAAGCTACTATTTAGGGTTGAGGGCTTCCCAAAAGTTAGGGTTTCTTTTTTTGGAACCTTTTTGGTGGTCCAAATAAAACATTGAGGTCTACGTTGGGCTACCTAAGAATTCAAACTTTGTGGGGCTTGCTGGAATCCTAGCTGAACTAGGACTAGTGGTTTAGGGTTTCATGTTTCACCGGATTGAAAGTAGTCTTGCAGACTCGAGAAGACCATTCTAAAACGTGTCCAAAAGAAAGAATACTAGCCATGAATTGAAAGGTGCTTTACGAGGCTTGACAGGACCATTCTGACGAATGATACGGGATGAGCTTCCTAGGTTGACTTTAAACTGCCATCAGACAAGAATTGCCATTAAGGTAGAGGAGGGTTTGGGAATCCCTGAATACTCTAGATTTATATTGCTTGATACAGTTTGGACGAGAGAGCTTGTGTAAAGGAAGCTGAACGGATTCCTAATCAGGGGCAACCTCGACTTCTTTGATTTCTGTTGATGAAAAGGATCATAGCAAAAAGGTATTCATCTTCCAGTTGCCTGGGTTCGCTTTGTTTACTTGTACTGTCTGCACAAGGCTTCGAAATGGCCATGCAGATGAGATGACGCATATGAGCTGCTCCTAGACTCAATGATCCCATAGGCTTCTGAAAGTATCGTTGCTTGTGATTTTCAACATCGGTCTCACGAAAAACTCCAAACCTCTGTCAAATAGCCTAAGCCCTAAACCATAAAGTAAAGAAAGCCAACAGCATCTCACACATGAGGACCAGTGCATGGAAGATCCAAGGGTTGCATACATTTACTTTTTGGTAATTAAAGGGGGGCGCTAATGTAGACCCTAATCTACTGTGCTTCCAAAAAGGTACCCCTAATTTTGGGAAACCCCCATATACACATATTGTTGACATGTACGTGGATTAGGGTATACAGTTTGTGATCTGGAGTCTTGTTGAAATAGCTCACTCTCTGGGACCCAAGCCCTGAACCCCTAAACCCTAAACCCTAAACCCTAAACCCTAAACCCTAACCCTAAACCCTAAACCCTAAACCCTAAACCCTAAACCCTAAACCCTAGGGATGCTAAATTCCCTATAAACGTCATAGTAGGGGAGCCTTTTTCAGAACCCAACGCCCTCAAGCCAGATGTTCAATCAAGGTCTCTCTGGGGGTATTCCTAATGTGTTCAGGTTCTAGGGTGCTGGGTTACATGCCGAAATCTAAACCAACAATCCTGAATCCTAGACCCAACACTCTCAATCCTGAACCCAAAAGCAAAAATCCTTAACCCAAAGCCCGAAATCCTGAACAATAAACCCTAAATCCTAAACCCTCAAACCCGATGAGAAATTCTTACAGGCAGTCCAAACAAAGGGAAAATAAAAGCACAGTCAAAAGTCAGTCAACTCTGGACATGCAGCCTACACAGCTTGTATATAACCTAAACCCCGAGTCCTAAGTCCTAAACAAAACATCAAAAACCCCAAACCTCAAATCCTAAACCCTAAGCCCCAAATCCTAAACCCTAAGCCCTACATCCTAAACCCTCAATTCTAAACCTCACCTCCTAAATCCTGAGCCCTAAACCCTACACCTGACACCGTAAGTCTGGCCTGTGAAGTCGTAGCCTCGAGGATGGCGCTCAACGACGCCAAAAAGCTTGGCTTGCCATCACCTTCCAAACAGGGTTTAGGGTTTAGGGGGTTTAGGGTTTAGGGTTTGGGGTTTGGGGTTTAGGGCTTTAAGCTTGGCTTGCCATCACCTTCCAAACAGGGTTTAGGGTTTAGGGGGTTTAGGGTTTAGGGTTTGGGGTTTAGGGCTTTAAGCTTGGCTTGCCATCACCTTCTTGGAGGGTCAGGGGGACTTAGTAACTAGGATATAATGGAAAAGAAAATGGAAACTACTGTATAAATATGGGGTTTAGGGTTTAGGGTTTAGGGTGCAGGGTTTAGGGTCCGGGGGACTTGGTAACTAGGTTAATAATGGGGATCATTGGGGTTACTATATGGGTTATAGGGGTTATTAACCTACTTACTAAGTCCCCCTGACCCTCCAAGTTCCAAACTGCTCCCACGTCAAAACTGAATAGGGTTTCGGGTTTAGGGCTTTAGGTTTAGGGCTTAAGGTTCAGGGATTGGGGCTTAGGGTTCAGGGTTTGGGGTTCAGGCGTTCGGGTTTAGGATTTGGGGGGGCTATCTTGGCGTATATTGGGGTAATGGAAAAGAAAATGGAAACTGCGCTTAGATTTTGGGGCCTACTGTGGATGAAGGAAAGCCTGCACCAGCTTGTAAAGCCCTAATAACAGCAATTATCATATTTTGGGGACTGCGTGATGCAAGGTTTCCTCCATCAAGAACTAATATGGATTTAGATTTTAGGGTTACGAATGAGCACTAGTAAGAATAAACATCATGTATGAAAGCTAGTTACGAACAACAGCTACCTACCAGCACAATAAAATGATGCATGCCAAAAGCTACCTGACCTGCCACAAGCTTACACCCTTAACCGGAAGCCCTAAACTTGAACTCCGAGAAGCCCTAAACCCCAAACAACCCTAAACCTAATAAGTCCTAAACCCAAGAAACCCCAATTCCAAGAAACCCTAAGCTCCGATGCGCCCTAAACCCCAAGAAACCTTCAACTGCAGGAAACCCTTAACCCCAAAAGAAACCCTAAATCCCAATAAGCCCCAACCTGCCAAGCCCTAAACCTCAAAGCCCACAGATGCCTCCACGGCTGGATCGACTCAGAGGAATAGCTTCAATCTTCTGATCCAGCTGCCTCTTGCTCCACACAAAACATTAGCACTTCCCACATTTGGGATCCATAGAATAAGGATTGTAACTTAGGTTGGGCCCTCACCCACTAATAGTGACCACAAGAGGTAATGGTAATTATATTAGGGTCCTTATATATTCCTAGTATACCACTATTAGTGGGTGGGGGCCCAACCAAATTGTAACGCTTTGGGGGGCGGTTCAGGGTTTGGGGTTGACCGCTCGAAGCTTGAGGTTGGTTTGACTCGTCTCCCGACGCTGGAGCTTACATCGCCCGGGCTTGCCCGCTTGAGTCAAAGTAACAAGAAAGAAGCTTTGATAATGGCAACAGTAATAGCAATAATAAGAAGAATAAACGTAAGGTCAATTCTAGCAGTGGTGGTAGTAGTAGTAGTAGTAGTAGTAATAGTAGTAGTAGTAGTAGTAGTAGCAGTAGCCAGAATAATTCTTGAAACAGGAATAATACTAAGAATCCCAATAATCATACTGTTGATACAAGAAACCCTACATGACCTTAGTAGGCTATAGTACCATATTTCCCTGCGTATGAGGTGCTGAGGGTCATCCAGGGTTTTTAGTATCAACCTTATAATTCCGTATATCAGCCCAGATTCCATTCAATTTTCCATTATCTTTTCCAATTGATTAGTGCCCGCTATGCTCAGAGCACGCTCGAGCTGCGTTCAATTCAAATATTTCCAATTGATTCTCCATTATCCCCATACAACCCCGCACACCTATACAACCCTGGATAAACCACTACAGCAATAACAAACCCAAACCCAAAAGCCTAACCCTAAACAATGATGATGCGCAAAAACGCTTTCTGTGTCTTGGTGTTCCGGTTTCAGATCGAGGCCTGCTGCTTGCTTGCGTGACTTCAACTATGTATCTATCTGTGTATATATATATATACACAACCTATATACTTGTATACAACGCTGTATATATAGCGTATATATATATATACACATTTATACGCAAAACCCAACGAAAAAATATAAATACATTACCCCATATAACCCTATATATAGATACGTATACCTATAACTCCCTATATATTTATACATATATAAGTGTGTGTGTATATATATATATATGTATAGCATATATATATATACATATACACACACACACACACGACCCTACATAACAATATATAGAAAAATGTCTACACTACCCTATACAACCCTATAGATCCTATATTACTACCCCATAGACCCCTATAGAACTCCGATGCTTCGGGGCCATATCGGGTGGCAAGCCGAGCAGGTGAAGCGATGAGGAACTGGTGCTAGCATGGGGGAATAGGGTTTAGGGTTCAGGGTATCTCGGGGATAGAGGATCATATAGTGTCATATCGGGTGATATAGGATTATATTCATATGATACACAGATAGGGTTATATAGGGGTATACTTCCGATTTTTCTATGTGGGAGGTATTGGTGTGTGGGTTCTTTCAGTGTTTTGTTCCATGTGGCTCGTCCTATTGCTTTTGTTTCGCTGGGGTCTTCCTGTTTGCGGGGTCTTTCAATGGCTTTTGGTAGTTCGAAGAGTGGGCTACTGGTTGTTTTGGCTTGCGGCTTTCTAGCGGAATCTTCCTATGCTCTTTCTAGAGGCTGCATATGTTGAGGCAGGAGTTGCTATGGTTTTGGGTGCTAGGGGGGGTCGCCTGCTGAGAAAATGGAAAGGGTATATGCTAGACATATTAGGGTAGCTGGCCTGCCACAAGATGCAAAATAAACAAGGGCCGTCAGGCAGCGACCCCTCCGAAACTGAGCAGCTAGCTATTTGGTCCATCGCTTTTTGCAGAATGGATCACCTATCCGAGGCACGCTTTCTGAAGGATATGTCTCAAAATTTCGGAATCCACTATGAATGGATCGACCTATGTACCCTGAGTATCATAGCGATCCTTATTTTAAGGATCCCCACAAAGAAGGGATCCCAAATTTTGGCAACCCTAAACCCTACACACCCCTACAAGATCCCGGTGCCATCCCTACCCTTCAACCTTTACGCTAAGTCTCGAAGCCTAAATCCTAAACCCCATATCCCCGGCGTATCCCCCTATAACCCCCTATACACCCCTATGCCGCCCTATATCCCCCTTTAACCCTAAACCCTAAACTTTTTTATCCTAAGCCTTAAACCCTAAACCCATTAACCCTAGACCCTGAACCCTACACCCTAAACCCATTAACCCTAAACCCTAAACCTTAAACCCTTAGGCGAAGAAGCAGGGAGAAACTCCTGGTCCTCGGCAGCGCTGCCGTTGGCTGGATGCTGGCACTTGCCTTCTTCGGACTTAGGGTTTAAGGTTTCTAGGGTTTAGGATTTAGGGTTAATGGGTCAATGGGTTTAGGGTTTAGGGTTTAGAGTTTAGGGTCTAGGATCTACGTAGGATTTAGGGTGTAGGGTGTAGGATTTAGGTTGTTTCCTTTTTTAATGAAAGGGCATTCAATTTCTTGTTTTTTTCGGATCTTTTCTCCGAAAGCCATACCTCTGGCAACGTCCCTTAGACACCGTCCCGGATCCAGCCCCCGAGTCTGTTGGACTCCTCCACCATTGCCGCCTCCTCTGTTACTGGTACTGCTACCAGCAAAACCATCAGAAGGCACACTCTTAAGAGAATCCTCCACAGGGATTTTAGGGTTTCGAGTTTACGCTTTGGGGGTTAAGGTTGCAAGTTCACCAAAATCCATACTGTCTGACCCATGAGCTTTTAAACATATGTCCTCCTCAGATGGATATTCGACATAGACATATACACTCGCCAATATTCCTAACGCACCCTATATACACTCACCAGAGGCCATCATACGTTGTTGGGTGCGTACTGCATCTTACATATAATTCCATGGCTTCCAAAAAACAGGGGCCCCAACATATGCCCCAGTATACTGTAATCCTCATCACTGCGATTCCTGATGCATGGACCCCTACTTTGCGGAAATCCAAAACCCCAAACCCCAATATCTGAAGCCACTTTGCCATGCGTGTATGAAACCCTGAACCCTAAACCCTCAACCCTAAACCCTAACCCTAAACCCTTAACCCTAAACCCTCAACCCTCAACCCTAAACCCTAAATGTATATGCTGGACCTTCTTCTGACTCGGCTGCTTGTTGAACTTCGACTTCTGGGCTGAGCTGCGCTCAACGGCATCTTCCTCCTCGAAAGGACACATGGGCTTCAAATCCTGACATCCGAACCCTATGTATTCCTATCTATCTCCATCTATCCCTACATATCCCTATGCATCCCATATATCTCTGTATGTCCCTAATCTCCCTCTAGAACCCCTTAAGACCCTAAACTCTCAACCCTAAACCTTAAACCCTAAACCTTAAGACCCTAAACCCTAAACCCTAAACCTTAAGACCCTTTGAGAAGACCTCACTCGTTGCCTGGCCACAAAGCTGTGCCAAGGCATCCCGCAGAAGCCACCGTGGGACCTGGTCCTTGCCAAGCTCAGCAGCATCAAAGCTTGGAGCGTTTAAGGTTAATATTTGGGCTATATTAGGGGTTATATAGGGGTTGCATTGATTTTTTTTCTGAAAATTGTGGTTATATAGGGATTAGATTGGGGTCATATTGGGGTTGTATTAGCGGTTATATTGGGGTCATAATGGGATAATGATGAAAAAGAAAATGGAAACCACTATTTAGGGTTTAGGGTTTGGTTTCGGAACTTTTCTCCAAGGGTAGGTTTGGGGTGTAGGGTTTGGGGGTTTAGGATTTCGGGGTTAGGGCTGGGGTGTAGGGTCTAGGCTTGGGGGTTTAGGGAAGCAACCAAGAAGATTCTCTTCACGTAGAGGAAAAAGGTTTCGTAACTAGATTGTGTAAGCAGTCGTGTAACATTCTACGAAGTATGTGTAAGCGCATGCTGTACAAGTTGTGCAACTCTTTGTTAAATTGAAGCGTCGTATGCTATTTGTAATATATTATGTGGAACTAAGCTGAAATTTATTGTAATTTAGAATACAACCCCCATGCATCCCTAACCCTAAAGTCTAAACCCTAAACCCTTTTGACCCTAAACCCTTAACCCTAAACCCTAAATCCAAAACCCTAAACCCTAAACCTCAAGCCCTATACCCTAGGTTGTGGTGAAGGTCCGGCAGCAGCACAACAAGGTCACAAAGCAGCTCGGCAGCCACAGCCTCACCTAAGTCAGGTAAAGTGTCAATGGTTTAGGGTCCAGAGTTTAGGGTTTAGGGTTTAGGGCTTAGGGTTTAGGGGCTATTGCTCATATTCTTGCCATCGCTGTGATGTTCGATTGAGATGTTCCATTATTAGGCGGCACTTCTCTTGCCGTTACGATTTCTTGAACATTGCGACCGCCAACGCGCATCCGCTAGTGGTCGCTTTTCGGGAGCTTGCACGATCAGGATTCGAATATATGAGCCATAGTCTAAACTCCTAGCATTCCCCCTTAATAAGCCCTTTATTACTCTCCTGTAAAATCCCCTACGCAACCCCTTTAAGGCGTTTAGATTACTTGCCCCCCCCCATTTCTGGAAACCCTTTTTGGTATGTGTCCGCACAGCAGACCTTGAATCCCAATCCTCAGTCCTTAGTCGGAAACCTTGACCCTAAATCCGGAACCCTAAATCCTCACAACTGAATTCTGCGCCCTAAACCCTAAGCCCTCGGTCCTGAACCCTGAACCCTAAATCCTACCCCCTGAATCGAAAGCCCTAAATCCTACATCCTCAACCATAAATCCTAGACCTAAACCCTAAATCCT